TGTTGTACTATAAAAAACACATGGAATTCTAAAAAAATAAAAAATTGAACTTGTTTATATAAATATTATAAGACTTACATTCAATACTATTTATATACTCTATCTATTTAATTAGATATTGCTACATATGAGTATTTTGTTTATAGAATAATAAATTATTATTATATTTTTAATTAATTTCATTTACAAAATTTATATTTAATAATTATTTATAATTAGCCTATTAATTATTTTCTTAGAAATTTATTACAAAAATAGAACTTCCCTTATTTTATCTTATTCAAATGATTTTGGTAATAACAATAACAATAATAATAATAGAAAATTATGCATAAATTTCACATACTATAATTATTTAATCCTTTGACTAGTATGGTATATGTGTGTGTGTCACATTTCTAAATAAATGACATAATATTAGTAGACTTGGAAAATTAAATAAAATATTTTTTGTATAGGAAGATTTTGTGAATAAATTTGATTGAAAGCAACGAAACATCTTTTGAGGTGTACAAAGTAAAATTATACATGTAGCATAAAAAATATTACTAAATTAAATACATAATAAAATAAAATAAAAATAATGGTCCTCCTAGTACAGGTGTCGGCATGTCACATTTTATATTTATTTCAATTTCAAAGTTAAGATAAGGTCTAATTAATCATTTAATCTTTTGTGAATTTTTCAATATGTGCCCACAAAATCATTGATTTTTTTATTTTTTTGATATAATTAACGTGATTAATTGTATTTTCGTTGTTATTTATAGTTGAATAAAATTATATATGTTTTAAAAATATTGAAGTAAACACACTATTGTGTTCAAAGTTAAGATAAGGTCTAATTAATCATTTGGATTCTACATTTTTTTAAAATTTTTTTTCACAAAATATCATAAATAATTCAAACCGAATCCTTTCAATCCAAATTCAAAGAAATACATATGATTCGCTTAGTGTAACTTGCCTTGTCGGACCTAATTTGCAACGTATTAAAGTCGACCCAGAATTTATACAGAGCGCACTCGAAGAGTTGCGGTTCCGAATTTTCACGTTATATATATATAAAAAAAAAAGTCATATAAAAATTGAATTGGATACTTAGATTTGTTTAATTTTCATTTTCTATTATGCACTCATACAATATTTTTATATGTTATTTTTCAATAACATCGCATTCAAAATATGTTTTTTCACGGAAACCATTATTTATCAACATTGATAAATAAAGTCCAACATAACATCTTATGTCAAAAAAAAAAAAAAAAAAAAAAAAAAAAAAAGAATTGTGCATGAGTTAGGATAAAACGTATTTAAAATATTTGTGTTCACTTGTAGATCGGTGTAAATCAGGATTTTTTTGTTTTTTTGTTTTATTTTATTTTATTTTTTTTTATCTACACGCACACATACTCACGAGCTCGATGGAGATTTCCTCTAACTTAAACACACACCCAAGATCGAACAAAGAAATGCTATTTTTTCACAGAATTTAGACTACCTTTCTTTCCGAAAGTTTTGCAAAAACTACTTCTCATTATTTAATCTACAAGGGCTATTGACCAAAATGTTGAGAGGTTTAGCAGTTGATTGCATTTTAAATGGGAAAAAAATATGATACTCCTAAAGTTGAGCAGAAATGGGTAGGATTTGAATGAATTGTTTAATCTATTCATATTTATAATGTATTTTAGAGTTAAAATTGCTTATTTTAGAAAAATTTTAAGATGGATGACTATTACTCTGCAATTCCGACGCATCTGTGGCTTACAGACCGCTTTACGAATAGAATATTTAAGTTTTGCGTACTTTTGGAAATATAAAAATATTGATATTATATTTATTAAAGATGCATTAAATATTTGATATGATATTTTTCTATAAAAAAGCTACCGATAATAATACTAAAATTTTTAAAATATGTGTACATAAGCATAACCTTAAATATTTTTTGCTAGAGTTTATAAATTAATAATAAACTAATTATTTGACATGATGTTTTATATATATATATATATATAGGTGTGTTTGTTTGGGGATTTGGATTTTGAGAACGTGTACTATTTTTTTTTTTTAGAGCAATGCAATATGCATTTTTTACAATTCTCAACCATATTTGGGTTTGTTTATGATGTATTGTATGTGCATTTTATTACATAAGTCTATTTGTCATTTAAATTTATCCTCATTTTTTTTAATTATCATCTAAATTTATTTTTATTTTTTCTTTAGTAAAACAATACATTTAGTTTTTTTCTTTATTTTAAAAAATAAAAATTTCTATTTTTTTAATCTATTTTTCTTAAATTTGTGTCTGGTTAAATAACTATACAATTCGATGACGAAAAGATTACGTTGTAATACACAAATAATATGTTTTACTAAATTTACGGAGAGAGTATAATATATATATAAATATACAACATACATCTATACATATATATTATATTCATTTAAAAAAAATTAATAATTCTTTATAAAATATTATTTTATATATCAATAATACGATTCTCCATATCTCATATAAAAGAATACATCAAACTCAAAACACAAAACAAACACACCCTAAGTATTGCATATGATTTTTTTAACAATATATGTTATTTCTTTCAGTATTCAATATTCTATAAAAATTACAAAAAATTTCAAAGTGGAATAATAATCAACGTATGAATATCATTAAGATAATAATTTATTGGAGATTAAAAATAGTAACATGATTGAACGTTGAAATTTAATTTGAAATATATATATATTTTGATCATATTTATGATCTTTGCTATGTATTAAAATTATTTATTGCATGAATTTTTATTTTTTTTATGAAGTAAGAATCAAGAAGAAAAAAAAAAAAAGAAAAAACAAAACCTATAAACGAACAAATTCATAGGATTAATTCTATTTATCTTTATAAATTTTAGGGTTTGTTCTTATTTTATTTCAATCCAAAATCAATATTATTTATTTAAATATTTAATATATTTTAAAAAAAAACATATCATATCAAAATACTATTAAAATAAAAATTCAAATCAACACTATATTTTAAATTAATTTTAAACTATATACAACAACAACGTATTAATTTAACTAAATATTGAAATTATAATATATTGTATTAAATAATCTTACAAAATAATATAGCGTCTGTGTAGACGAGATTTTTCAAAGTTTTTGAGTTTTATGATTTTAAAAATGGTAAAAAATTAGCATATGAGACTCCCTCCATCCTAAGTATTTTATTTCTATTAATGAATGTATGATAATTTAGGTAAAGTATAAATAGTAAATAATTAAAAAGTATATCGGTAAAAATAATTATATATTAAATAAAATTTAAATTACTCAATTTTGAATCAAAACCAAATGCACCCTTTATTTATTTATTTTTATTTAGAATTGTACAAAGATAAAAGAGCAAATCCTAATACTTATGATAGATTTAATATTACTTTTGGCGGCAAAGTTATTTCAAATTTAAACTACCCGAATTCTTTTTAAAAGTTATTACTAGCGAAATACTCGTGCTACGCATGATGAAATCAACGAAAAAAAATTATAATCATATTTCTTATTCTTAATTACACTATATTCAAAATCCTCAAATATCCCTAGGGTTCTTGGGTTAGTAGTTTGTGTTTTGATTAATAATTTATACTGTCATCCGTCTCATAACAAAATATCAATTTTTCTCTTTTAGTCCGTCTCATAACAAAGTATCAATTTCCTTATTTAGTAATTGTACTATCTACCTAACATTACAAATACTTTTACAACTTATAATATATTACACAAATGTCATTACCTTTACATCACACATACTAATAAGGTTATTTTAGTTATTTTTACTTTATTCCTACTATATCCTAATATAATACTAATATTTCTAAAACTACGTACACAAAGTAAATAAATACTTACTTTTGAGACGGAAAGAGTATAATAGTTAGATGTAATATTATATGGGAAAATGTCTATTTATATTATATATATATATATATATATATATATATAAGAATTGTATAGTAAATAAATCCAAAAAGAAAACTCAAATAAACATTACACCTTTTCATCTCTGAAATCTTTACTAATCTCATTTGAAATAATTAATAGAAACATTTCAATAAATTTTGGCTCTAATTTTTAGTAATTTATTTTTGTCACTATGAAATTAACAGGTTAAAAAATATTATCTCTCCTCTTAAAACATTACATTAAACTACTATTTAAATAAAAAATACATATTCAAAATACAAAAATAATTACAAACGACCAAACAAAAATATTCCAATACCAATGAAAATTCCTAAAATAAGATTATGTTCTTTTTTCTTAATATATATTTCATTATTATATGTAATATATACTATTTTATATTATAAAAACAACATATTAGAGTATTATTTAAAGAATAAAAATACAAAACACAAAATACTTAAATTTTTATTATTAATTATTAAAAAAGTATACAGATATTATTAAAATATTTAATTTTATTATTTTTATAATTTTAAATAAATAAGAAGAGAATCTATATTTATTGACAACAGTAAATCTTAAAAAAAAAAAAAAAACACATCCAATATAAAACTAAACAAAACCCTCACTAGAGTTACATTATGTCAAATAAATTGTTAGTCAAAAGGTCGGTCCATGATCCAGGACAATCCACACCATCCAGTTCCAATCCACCGGTGCAGATCACTTCCGTCTCTCAAGTCCCGGGATCCGCTAACCATACCTCTCAACTATCTTTGCTGGCACCTCTCTCCGACGAGTCATGGTCAACCCAAAACAGTCACCCCCTCACAACTCGACACGTGTCCCCCACAAAACCTATACATACACCTATACATACACACACCCCTATGGGGGGGGGGTGGGGGGGGGGGGGGTTTGTTGGGTCTTGATGAGCTGTGATATAAATTCCGTGTGTGGAATTCAAGCTGTAATTTCGATAGGTCCATTACCCCCACCCACCCCCACCCCTATAAATACCCATGACCCACCCCCCCCTTTCCTTCCAAGAATCATTTCTTAAGATTCATGGCGGCACTCATCGTGTTCCTCGCATTCACACTATCATTAACCTTCTCCCTCGCCGCCAATTCCATTTTCCGGCGGCGGCGCCGCCCCATTCCCCTCCCGCCGGGATCCATGGGGTGGCCGTACATTGGCGAAACTTTCCAACTCTATTCCCAAAATCCCAACACCTTTTTCGCCAACAAACTCAAGAAGTACGTAATTAAATAATTAATTAATTATCCATTTACATTCCGACCGTTATGTTAAGGTTTCGATTCCGTCGCAGGTATGGCTCGATTTTCAAAACCCACGTGCTCGGATGTCCCTGCGTGATGATTTCTTGCCCCGACGCCGCCAAAATCGTCCTGTCGACGAAATCCCATTTGTTCAAACCCACATTCCCCGTCAGCAAAGAAAGAATTCTTGGCCGACAGGCAATTTTCTTCCACCAGGGAGAGTATCATTCCAGGCTCAGAAAACTCGTCGTTAAGTCCTTCACCCCCGCCGCCATCGGAAACATCGTCGCCGCCGTCGACGCCGTCGCCGCCGCCGCCGTCGCCGCCTGGGAAAACAAGCAATTCATCACCACTTTCCAGGAAATGAAAACGGTACGATTCATAATTCCAGGGCCGCGCCCGGGACCTCCGCTCCCGATCCATCTCCACCATCCTTTTACAATTCTAACGGTTGAATTATTAACCATTATTTTTCAAAATTATTTTTTTCTTTTTTGCAGTACACGTTCGACGTGGCATTGATTTCCATTTTCGGAAATGACGAGCTAATGTACAGAGAAGAAATTAAAAAATGTTATTACACCCTGGAAAAGGGGTACAATTCGATGCCTGTAAATTTTCCAGGGACACTTTTCCACCAGGCGATGAAATCCCGGCGGGAGCTCTCCAAAATCCTCGCCGAAATCCTCAAACTCCGGCGGCGGCGCGCCGCCGGAAACCACCGCGACTTACTCTCTTCCTTCATGGGAGTCTCCGAAACGGCGGCGGCGGCGCTTTCCGACGAGCAAATCGCCGACAACATAATCGGCGTTATCTTCGCCGCCAGAGACACCACCGCCAGCGTACTCACGTGGATCCTTAAATTCCTCGCAGAAAATCCAACGGTTCTCCAGGCTGTCACTGTACGGTCGTCCAATCTCAGCCGTCCAAATTTTATCTTCCTTTTTTAAAATTAAAAATAAAAAAATAAAATCTGATATATATATATATATATATATACAGGAAGAACAGGAGAGGCTGATTTTATGGAAACAAGAAAATTGCAAAGAAGATGAAATTAAGAAGCTGACGTGGACAGACACAAAAAAAATGATAATTACAACGAGGGTTATTCAAGAAACCCTAAGAATTGCTTCCATTTTGTCATTTACTTTCAGAGAAGCTGTGGAAGACGTCGAATTCAACGGTTTGTCTGAATTTCATTATTTGGATTTTAGAAATTCAACCAAACAGGGCCTAATAAATATATATATATATTTATTTATTTATTTACAGGATATTTGATTCCAAAGGGATGGAAAGTATTGCCATTATTTAGGAATATTCATCACAGCCCTGATAATTTTCCGGAGCCAGAGAAATTTGATCCGTCCAGATTTGAGGTACCACACAGATCCAGCAATCTCCACCGTTGGATCAGATACCATAACTATATACCTATCATATCTTGTCTTAATATTTAGGATTTTGGTCGGTTATGTTTTTAAATAGAAGTCTTCACTATAAATCTATTTATGGTAAATTTTTAATATTGTTATTTCTTAAAAATATTATATCAAATATTTTTATTTTTATATTATATTAAAAATAAATATTTACTCGAAAGTATTGAATGTGATAAATACATGTTTATATTATATCAAATTACATTAAAATAAATAAATATTTTTTTTTACTTGTAAATTATTATTAAAATAATTGATTAATTTAATTTAAAATTGATAAATTGTAAAATTAATTAAAATGTATAAACAATTTTTCGAAAAATTGATGGGTGTGGTGAATGTGACAGGTGAGTCCAAGGCCCAATACATTCTTGCCATTTGGCAGTGGACCACACTCCTGTCCCGGCAATGAATTGGCAAAACTCGAGATCCTGGTCCTCCTGCACCACCTCACTACAAAATACAGGTATTTTATTATTATTATTATTATTAGCATGATTATTTCAAAGCAAATAGCTCAATTCTTTAAAATTCGATTTTAATATTTTATCATAAAATATTTATAACTTTTTAATAAAAATGTTATTAATGTATCTAATAAAAATATTATAGACAATTTATTATTTAAACTATTTTTTTTTAAAAAAATTTAAAACTAAATTCCAAAAAGAACAAACTATTTTCTAATTTATTTATTTATTTATTTTTTATATATCAGTTTACTTTTATTGTATCAATTAAAAAGAGATATATTAATTATTTATATATGAATATATAGATTGATATGAGATGAAAAGGTAGGAATTTTTTATTTTTTATTTTTTGAATTTCCATTTAGCCTTTAGCTATTTAGATTCCGTGTGTTTGTTTTGTGTTTTGGTTTAGAGAAATATTTTTTTATGTAATGTATAAATAATTTTATAAATAATATAAAAATAATAAATGTGTTTAATATATTAATTTTTTTTAAAAAATATAATGAAAATTTTTGTGTTCCTACGATAAAAAGTACCCTAGTTTTCTTAAAACATCATATAAAATATTATCAAAATAAAATTTCTAAATTTTCAAATTCAATTCAAACTTCAAATTTTTTGACTAAATTATATTAAATTAATCTTTAGGGCTACAAAAATTGATGTAAATTAGGGTTTAGGTTGGATAAAATAATATGTATGAGAAGTAAATAATTGTTGCAATTTTTTTGGAATTTAATTTATTTTTTTATTATATAATTGTTGCAATTTTTTTTAAATAAAAAGAAACTATTTTTTATGATAAAATATATCAAGCATGAATTATTGTTTAAATAAAAAATTAAAATTTAAAATAAAATAAAATTATAAGGGTGTGCTTTGTTTAGGTTAGATATTGAGTTTAATTTATTTATTTTAATTGAAATAATACTTTGATATGAGAATTTGTGCGACGGAATAATATATATATTTTTTTATATAAAAAATTGTATTTGATAATTTTGATTTTAAAATCAAAACCTAACAATCCTAAAATAATACATGCAAAATATCTGAGAATGATATATTTTTCAAATATAAAATTTAAAATTATTTAAATTAATTAATATTTTCTTAGTTTATATTAATTATTATAATATTTAAAGATTTTAATTAATTTTTTTTTTATGTGTACAGGTGGTCTATTGTGGGCCCACAAAATGGTATCCAGTACGGACCCTTTGCTCTTCCACAAAATGGTCTTCCCATCAAACTCCATCTCAAAAAATAAAAAATTAAAAAAATTATTTAAAATAATATATATATATATATATTAAGTTCAAATTAAAATTTAAAAGGAAAAAAAAAAAAAGATTGTGAAGCTGGCAATTTGTACATAAAGCGTGCAAGAAGACAGACAGACCTCCGAAGGAAGTTACGTACTGAATATTAGAATTTCATATAATGAGGGGACCAATCAGAAAACTTCAAGAAATACCGAGGCCTTAAGTGTAATTTCGTGTGTTGTAGTAGTTCTTTCATTTTTATTTTTATTTTTATTTTTTATTTCTATTTTGGTTGTGAAAAGTCCGCAAGGCATATATAATTAATAAAAATATCTTATATATATATATGTAATGTTTGAATTTTATTTTCTTGTATTATTATTATTATTATTATTATTATTATGATTGCTTAAAGTAACACGTCATGCATAACGAATTAAATTAAATTATGTGAATTTTGTCTACTAATTTTATGTGAATTTGAATTCTAATACAAATTTTAATTAATAGAGTATTATATTAATTAACTATGATATAAAATTAAAATATTTTAAAAAATACATATATTAATAAGTTAATAAGGTTAAAAAAAATTACATAGATTGACTGGTAAATAATTATGAGAAATTTGTAAATAAATACTCACTCAGTTCCAATTCAACAATTCTATTTAACTTTTTTTCTGTACGTCCCGAAAAAATAAGTTGACGAAATAACATAAAGCAAACACTTATAACAACCAATATGCACATGTATGACTATGAGAATGGTTAAAATAACTTATTGTACATAATATTTTCGTATGTCATTCAAATTTATTTATTTATTTTATTGTAATATAAATTTATTCTCGTTTTTTTTTAGGAAAGAATATCATTTTTTTTTATATTTTTAACTCTAAAAAGTAAAATTTTTTATTTTTACTTATTTTTATTTTTTAAAACTCAGATCCAGTTAAATAAACATACAGTTGAATACCAAAGAAAGTAATTGTGCAAATAACATATATTATTTTAGTGCTTACCATATGTTGTGTATATCTTTGGGTTTGGATTAAAAAAATTGATTTGCACTTTATATTTAAATAATAGTTTATATGACATTTAAGAAAAAATATATTAAAAAATACTTCCTCTGTCCTAGATACCGTATCTGCTACACTGTAGACACGGTATTTTAAGAGGATCGTAATTAGTAGATAATTAAGAATGTATTAGTGAAAATAATTATTCTATAATATAAATAATTATAAATTAAGATTAAGATAACTAATTAGTTTAATTAAAAAAAATAAAATAAAAAAATTTAAAATGAGATTAAAGTGTGTAATCATTTTCCAAAAAAAGAAAGTGACAAGGTATGTGGGACAGACAGAAACAGCAACATACACATGATATCTGGGACGAAGGAAGTATATTTTACAGAAAAATTATAGTTGAAAGTATAAAAAACTAAAAAGAAAGCCAAAATATCACACCATAAAAAGATTGACTAAAAAATAATTAAATCTATTTTCTGTCTTATTCAATAAAAATAATAAATGGGCTTGATTCCTTGTCCATTGTTAGACATTTGGGCTTATTAAGATTGAATAAAACTTATACATTAATTACTACTTCATCTGTCCATTTTTTACTGTCCTAAAGTATATTTACACAGTTTTTAGGTGATTGTTTTTTTTGTTATAAATGGAAAAATTTGCCCTTAAGTGTATGATAGAGATTAAAAGTAATAAATGAATAAAGGGTAAAAATGTAAAATTTGTGTTTAAAAAAGGAAATAGGATAGTTGTTGAACGTCCCAAATAAGAAAGTATGATATTAGTTTGTGGACGGAGGGAGTACAATACAGATATTATTTTAAATTTATATATAAAAAAAGACATATGAAAGCTATATTTATACAGATTTTATTAATATTTAAAAAATATCACATGTCTTTTTTACATGCTCTCTCATTTCCAAAATTATAGTTTGGGTTGTATTTGACATAAGATTTAAGAAAATATTGATATTATATTGGTAGTGAGTAAAAAGTACGGGTAAAAGATTTTTTTACACTTGTGAGTGTATTAGTGTAAAAAATAGTGGCAATTGTGTAATAATAATGAAAAAATAAGGGTAGTTTTATAGTGATATGATTATTTATGGAAATGAGACTATTATTTGAAACAAACAAAAATAGTAAATAAGACTATTGTATTCGAACGAAGGGAGTATAAAATATTATGTCAAATATTCCAATTTTTTAATATTTTCTAAAATTTTGATATTTAAATATTAATTATTAAAAAAAAACATAAAAATACTTCTAATAGTTTCTTATAATAGTAATATAAGAATATTTAAAAAAAAATTATACAAATATAAAAATATTTTTATTGAGATAAATATAATCCTTAGAAACGGACGAATGCAGTATATATTTCAATATTTTATATAAAATTTAATTTATAATAATCATATATATATTTATTAAATTAGAAGCCAAAATTGTATGTATGTATGTATGTATGTATGTGTTTTTATGGTTTTTGGGACAAGATTAATGACCGATCATGGACTTTTCTATTTTCTTCCACTTGGCTTTGGTTTTTGGCTTTGGCTTAAAGTAATGGCAGCCGAGCCGAGTGTTGAGCCGAGAGCCAGCAAGCCGAGAACGGCTGATGAAGCATACACTCCCTTCTTGACCACGTAACAGTCTCCATCTACCCAACCTTCTCCCAACGGCTGGGCTTGGCTCATGCTGCTGGCTGCGCCGATTAGGACTCCACCACCCACGAACAACACCCTTCTTGCATTTCATAATAATAATAATAATAATTTATAATTTTTTTTTTTCAAACCATTTTTTTGATGTGATTTAATTTAAATGAAACGAAATAATTAGTCTGTTAACTCAAAAATTTTCACTAAAATAATTTCCCATAAATATTATTAAAAAGATATAAATAAACACACACATTAATATAATTTATGTATCATCCTTTTATAAAAATCAACAATTCAACAAAAAAATATTATTTTATATTACCAACACAGTTCTTTATGTCACAAAAAAAAAAAAAAAAATCTAAAAATGCTGCCTAAACTACCCGAATAAATTTCTATAAAAAATTTGTAATAATTATATAATGAATAAATTGAAGAAAATAAAATAAAATAACCAAAAACCTTAACAACTAACCAAGATAGAAGGATCAAAATGCATGAAACTGTAGGCTTTCGAACTGCACCGTAGCAGTTGCCGCCGCCGCCGCCGATAACTTTTGTCCTAAATTTTATGAAGATGAAAAAATTTCCTACAAAGTGAGCAACACAAAGACACACCAAAGCTCCAATCCCTAATCCAAAAGATGCACTTTTGGGCACATAACATTGTCTTCCTTTCACAATCACATCACTATTCTGTAAATACATAGGAAAAAAAAAAAAAAAAAAAACGACTATAAATTTTCACGTTATATATATATATATTGAGTATACGATTAAAATCGTAGCGGGTCACATGAAAATGAGCTAAAGAACATTTTTTTGGGCATTCAAAATTTTCACATGATCAACGATCTCTTTAGCAATCACCACGTGTAAAATTTATTTGAATTAATCAATTTGAGCGTGTAAAAAGTATATATTTTCTTCTTTATTGATCGATATTGTATAGATTCTTTTAAAATTTTTATTTTCTTGCAATAAAATACGCATATTCAAAACATCAACATATAAAGGACGGTGTTTCAAGATCTCTTACAACCTTGATTTTCTTATAAGACACGATACCTTTGACTTCTTGAATTCGGCGGCGAGGCATAGGGAGAAAAAGGCGACGGCTCCGGCGACGACGATGGTAGAGAAGATTAGAAAACCATGGTGGGTTTTGAGGGTTTGCATAAGTGATTTTTGGGTGATGGTTTTGGAGAAGTATAGGTAGATTATTTATTTATTTATTTATTTTAATTTTTTTGGGAAGAAATGAAAAAAGAAAGAAAGAATTCTTGCAAGAATAATGGGTGTAGTTTTCTTACATGGTAAGGAGAAGAATAATTGGTATTTGATTCATTCTTGGAGTGGATTTGGAGAATATGACTTTGAGTTTGGTCAAATTTTGAGCAATTGAGATATACATAAGTGGAATTTGGTAGTGGGCTGTAAGTGTATATGTCATTTCATAATAATCTTATTATATATATATATATGTTTGATAAATATATGTTTTTTTTTTTTCGGTGTAAAAAATTTAATAAATATTACTTTAATATGTGCTTATTTGACTGGATACGAGTTTTAATAAAAGTGAGTAATAATTGTTACATTCTTTTTATAGTAAAAAAAAAATACAAAAAGATAATGATATTTTACTTAAAAGGAAAACACCAATTTTTTAATTTATTTATTTAATTTTTATTAATTCAAAAAGAATAGTGGATATAGATTTGAATGACTTACTGTATTAGTATTTCAAATCTTTAAACAACACAAATGAGAACTTATTTGATTTAATGGTAGAAGAGAGAATTGTAAATTTGTTTCATTTTGTACATATAATTGATTATATTTTTTATTATGTATACTTTTTTTTTTTTTTTTATCTTGCAAAAGATTATACTTATTATGTTCGCAAATAATATGCCCATTTTATTTGTTAAAATATACTTATTTATTTTGTAAATTACAACTGAAATAAATATATTTTTTTAATGGACAAAGAAAAAATAATTTTTTTCTTTTTTTTTTATAAAGGGGTGTAAAAATGAATTTTGTTAAAAGGGTAAAAACAATTGATTTTTTGTAGTTTAAGTTCGAAAAACAACTAATAAAATATATAATTTTTTTAAAAAAATGTTTATTTCGATTTGAAATTGATTTGAAATATAATGTTAATTTAAACCTATTATTTGTAACATAAATCAAAGACTTTTAGATATGAATTTGTAAATTTTGAATTCTTAAAATGAGAGATAGCAATCTAGCTATATATATATATATATATTTGACATGAGTAGGTTAATTAATTAATTATTTTACAAAAATTATTAAAATTTGAGGTACTATATAACCTATGTGCTAACTGGGGTGGGATTATTCATATTGGTAAAGATTCATATAAAACAATTTAAAATATCGACCAAATATAAAATTAATTTAAACGGATTTATTTATTTAATATTTTTTGAATGGCACCATTTTTTTTATAAATATAATTAAAATATATAATATACATATATTAATATAATTTATACAAAGTTTTTGCAGCATACCTTTGATTAGTTGAGCGAGAGTGAAATTGATCTGAATAAAATATTAATTTTAATTTTTGTTTCGATAGTATTTCAACGTAATATTTTATGAGAGAAAATAATATATTTTTATTAAAAATTGTATAGATCGAATAGTATTAATCTCAATTTAAAATTATAAAAGAACAAACTCATACTTTATTCATTCACTTTTTGGCTGTAGATATTTAGATATTAATTATTATATTAATATATAATACAAATTAAGAAAAAAAAATAAAAATATTTTTATTAATATTGTGTAACACAAATGTAATAATATTTTTATGTTAATATATTATATAAATATAAAAATATTTTAATTTTAATATTAAAAATAATAATATTAAAAAATAAATAATTTTTTTTATTATAAAATAAATTTAATATTATTTTTTATATCAACGATATTTTTTTATAAAATATTTAATATTAAAAATCCAAAGTGAGCAAATATAAATATGTTTTTATTTATTTGTGGTGAGGCTTTCTTCCACTTGTGAAGTCAACTATAAACATTATGACAATTGAGTCTGTTTAAGACACCAATAGCTTGTCCATTATTATTATTTATTATTTATTATTATTATTATTATTATTATTATTATTAATTATAATATTCCAATTTGAGAATTAGAATAATATGATGCTGCTTCGCCTTTAGCTATAAGAAAATAAATAAATAAAAACTATGGGCTCTTACACTCTAGGATGTGCTTGTTCGGATGTTTGGATTTTGAGTTGAGATTTGAATAGTAAAAATTTTGAATTTGAATAATTGTATGATGTGATATAAATAGGTATTGATGTGATGTTTTGAATGTAAAATTAATTTGTAATATAATATAAAAAAATAAAAAATAAGTATTTAATTTGATATTTTTTTTTAAAAAAAAAGATGATCAAGTGAATTTAAAATCCAATCCCCAAACAAACAAACCCTATAAAGAAAATTCTTGGAAGCAACTTTGCTTTTGTCACGGCCAAAACACATCATTGTGGGACTCATCACCTCTTTTTAAATTATTATTATTATTATTATTATTATTATGTATTATTATTAGTTTTAATTATTTTTTTCTAAAGATATTATATACTCTATTTTATGCCATTTATTTTATACTCTCTCGATCACACTGAGTGTGTTGGTCGACACGAGAATTTAGAATAAGTATAATTAATAGATAATTAAGAATATATTAGTAAAAATAATCAACATATAATATAAATCATTATAGATTAATATTAAGATAACTAATTAATTTAATTAAAATTTAAAAAAATTTAAATTAAAAAATTTAAAATGAGATTAGGACGAGTAATCATTCTTAAAAAAAAAAATGATATGAAATGCAAGACAAACAGAAAGGACAAGATGAACATGGTAAGTGGGACTAAAGAGAATAATATATATATATATATATAAAATAAAAGATCAACTAAACAAACCCATAAGTTTTTGTAAATGTATTTTCAAATATATATTTATATTATTTTCAATTAATTAATGTTTATATGATTCAATCGTATTCCATACTTTGCTATGTCAAAGTTTTTTTTTTTTTTTTTTTTTTTTTTAACAGTATTAAAAGTAAAACTAGGTGGGGTATACTTTTATTTATTTTATCTCAAATAAAAAATTCAATAATTCATTTAGTATAATTTTTAATAAAAAAAATATTTTTCTTCTCCCAAAAAATATCTCATCAAAATATCATTAAATTAAAATTTAAATAACAACCCCAATTTCAAATTAAAAAGAGCATTTTGACAAAGTAATAGTATATTTTTACATTGGGGTTTGTTTCTTAATTTTACTTTCAATATGTTGTTCCAAGTGGTATAAAGTTGATATATATATATATATATATTTTGTTCTTATGTTTTTTTTAATTGAAAGTAGTTTTCTATATTTTAAAAGGTAAAAGTAAAAAATCAATAAAAAAGCTTTAAAAAAAAAAAAGCAAAAGTTTTAAGACATATCGAATCAAAAATAATAACAAAGAATTTGAATCAAAACCATAGATTTCTTCCATCATTTAGTAGCATAATTCTAAAATCTAAACATTCGAAAACCACATATACATAACACACAATTCGACATCAACCTTATTGCAACATCGATCACAAATCAAAAGATCATTTTTTTGCAAGAACTTCAAGAACCGATTGCCCAATGCAATAAGCAATGGCCTGAACAGTGACCATCGGATTCACCCCCAACGCCGTCGGAAAAACGCTCGTGTCCGTCACAAATAGTCCCTCGACCTCCCACGTCTCCCCCGTGGGGCCCACCGCCGACCGATCGGGACCCACCCCCATCCGGCAACTCCCCATTTGGTGGGCCGACCCGATCGGTGTCGACAATCCCGTAATCGGCCTCGAACTCTCCTCCTTCACGAAACTCTCGAACTCGTCCCGACTCCGACTCGACTCGTTCACTTTAATCGTCTTCCCGTTCTTATTATACGTCCCGATCTCGTCGGCCCCCGCGGCCGCGAGTATCCTCAGTGCTTTTTCGACCCCTTGGCTTAAATTATCAATATCTAAATCGTTTAGCGTGTAATTTATGTCGTGCTCGGATGTCACGGTTCCCGAGCTTGTATCTCGAGCTAAGGCAAAGACGTGCGCAATTCGAGAAAAGTTAAGCATTCTTGCTCTAAAGTCCTTGGCTGAATGCCAGGGAGTTAGAATAGAGTATAATCCGGGATGGACCGACGGAGTTTGGATAATTGCGCCGTATCCTGATTTATCCCAATTCGCCGCCACCGACGACATGGCCGTCATAATCCCTCCTTCGTAGCTTCTTTTCGCCGTCTCCGGCCACGGTTTTGCCGTTTCCGGGAAATGTCCCCACGCTACCACGACCGGGTGTAAATGTAAGTTCCGGCCGATATTAGGGTTTCTTAACCCGCTCCGTTTTAACAATTCCGGCGTGCAAATGGCACCACATGCGGCGACAATTACTTTTGCATGAACAATTCCGATTTCTTTCCCTTCGGGGCCCTGGAATTCGAAAACAACTCCGACGGCCCGTTTTCGACCGTGAACAGTGTCGTGAGTTATTACCTGAATCGCTTCACATCTTGGGAGAACAGCGCCGTTCCCCGACTCCGCCATATCGACTAACCATGTCTCGGCCGTGCCTTTTTTGGCCCCGTCCTTACATCCTAGGCCGCACCAACCACAATAGTGGTCGGGAGATGCGTTCCGTGGGATGTCCTCGACGGGGTAGCCCAGATTCTCGCATCCTTTTCTTAAAACCATGTTGTTGAATCCCTCGTGTTCGAACCCCGTTTGAACTCCCATTCTGTCGCACACGATGTCTAGAGCTTCTTCGTATTCCTTACTCCCGAACAATTCCAACCCGTGTTTCTCGTGCCACTCTTTTGTCACGTGTCGCGGAGTACGGATCGAGGCCGACCAATTTATGGTCGACCCTCCGCCGACGGTGGACCCCGCGAGGATGAAGGCATTCATGTTTTGTGTCGCGAGCATGCCATGCTCGAGGTACATTCGATCCATTGCTTCACCTTCAATGAGCGAGAGGTTACTTCTCGCGAAGTAATCTCCCTTTTCCAGAACTACGACTTTGTGACCGGCTTTAGCTAGGAGGCCCGCCATGAGCCCGCCACCGGAGCCCGACCCGACCACAACGGCGTCACAATTGACGATGAAGGACGGTTTGAAGGGCCCGATTCCAATGTCTGAGGAACACGGTATCGAGACATGAAAGCCCGACATTTGGAGCTTTTGAAAGGCCATTTGTTTTGATGTTTTGTGGAAATTAATGATGCCTTTGTGAAGTGGCCCGAAGGGATGATCTTCTTTGTTTGAACCATCGTTTTCTTGTTGTTTTTGTGTGCTTCTCTTGTTTGGGCTTCGGATCGGATCTGGCCCACAATAGCCCATGGCTTTCCATGAAGGGTTCTCGTTTCTATCATTCACCTTTATAAGGACTTGAAAAAAATGAAGTTAGTAATTAGATAATGATTTAAAATTTTTTATCAGTTTTAATTTAATGAATTTGAATCCATTTGTTAAATGCCTATGTTAATTTCAACATAAATGTAAAATATATATTTTTTCCTCTAAAGACAAAAAATATATATATATATATATTGTTTCTCTTTTTATTTGATTAATATTTCCTATTCAGATTTTTGCATCAGTCAAAATAAAGTATTTAATATAATGTAAATATAAAATGTAATATTTTTCAGAGAAAAATATTTCTAATTTAATATTTAAATTAAAAATTAAGTATTTAATCCAATATTTTAAACAAAGTATTATAATGAATAATTTCAAAATTCTTCAAAACATAAATAAACATAACCCTAATAACTTGCGGCTTTATAAATTTACCAAAATAACACATTTCTTGTAGCAATTCAACATATATTAGTTGAAAAATGAAAACCAACTATAAATTAACACAATGCTAAAAGTTAATTAAGGGTTTGGTTGGTAATTTTTTTTTTAATTTTTTTTTATAGTTTAGATACTTGTTTAAATGTAATTTTTCTTAAGATAGAATAAAATCAAAATACTTAACAACATAGTGATACATTTATACAAAATTTCTACCACGAGCACATGCAATTTAATCTCTATAAGAAATCGCAAAAATTAAATAGTAAATATTCTATCGTAAATATAATAAATTTAGAAATAAATTATCTAGAGAGAGAGAGAGACCTGTGTGAAAAATGTGAAGAGAGTGAAGATTTTGATGGAAGTGAAGAAAAGGTTGGAGAGAAAGAAATGGCTGTTGCTCCAAGACAACATAATTTGTTGTCTTTTTTCGAAACTAAGTTGAGAAAACCTCAGAAGAAATGGGAATTTAGTAGATAGGGTTTTCCTTCCGCATAGGATGAGTGTTCCTAACCTTGTCGATAACAACCATATTGCTATCTTCGCCATAAACATTTTTGGGTGCTTTATTTTTCCGTATAGAAGGACACCAACCTGTCGTAAAAATAGAATACATGTTACAGTTAATTATCCCTAAGCACAAAGTGCATCTAATGTAAAATAAATATATAGCATGAATGTATATCACGATTGATCTCAGTAAAACATGTATGTTAATTAACACGGTATAAATATATTGTATAAATTGACAGTATATAATAATAATTCATAAAAAAGTGTTGATTTTGATATATATATATATATATGTCATGATAAATCTTTCCGAATAAAGTATATGAAAGTTTGATACAAATATATGGTATAAATTGGCAATATATGAAAGTTTATTTATCCTATGTTCTATTGTTGTATAAATTAATAAATCAACACATGATCCAAACTCATTTTACAAAGGATACATGTAATCATTTTATTCGGCTAAGTAAATTTAATATTCTATATACTAATGTTATGAACCTAATATGTTAATATATATATATATATATAATATTTTGATATGATATTTTATAAAATAAAAAAAATATTTTTATTGAAATTTATGCAGATAAATAGTGTCGAAAATGATTTGAAATTAAAACCAAAAAAACCCACATACAATAAACAAATTTCCATTGTAACTCATAAGAAGAATTATATATCAAGTCAAATACATGGATCACAAGTATATATCATTAATTTTAAAGCATTTAGCATGATACTAGAAGTATTCAAATCTTTATGTATTTGGATTTTGATTTTTGATTTCAACATCGATTTGAATAAAAAGTTTTCTAAATAAAATACTTATATTTTTAACAAGAATTACACTACTTCCATAAAAATTAAACTAAACAGAAATACCCAAAACAACTAAAAAAACAAGAACACACCAAGCACATGTGCCTATGTTTATTTGTAGGACCCAGTTCCGAGTAATCTAATTTTAAATTAAGATAATGTAACGATTAAATATTTTGAATATAAAATTAATTTTTATTATAAAAAAATAAATATTTAATTTAATATTTTTTATTTTTAAATAAGTACTAAAAACATCTTACAATCAAAAGAGAACCACACACAAATAAAAATATCAAACGTGTAAGTATATATATATATATATATATCATGCAATGCTTACGTGGCGCGGAGTTTTCGCCATGGAAGCAGAGGTTTGATAAAACTGAAGAACAGATTGATCCAACGGCTGGCGATGATCGTCAGGAAAATCAACGGCTGGCAGCAACGTGTCGCACAGTGCAGTCAAAGCCTCCATTTCTCCTTCTGATAATGGATTTTTCTCACTGCTCATCTTCCCCATCTCTAGAGAGAGAAAATAGACAGTTTTAGAGAGAGAGAGAAAGAAGATTATATATGAAAATTGTGGTTTATTATCTATATGTACGTATGTATATCTATATATATACACATATATACAGGCTCAACTCATTCATCTGGTAGGAGGGTTTCGGTGGGGCCTGGACTTCGGGACCTTTAATTGCATCTAGACTTCTAGACCGTTGAGAGTGTACGAGCCCTGCCCTATAGACCGGTGTGGTCCCGGGACTCTTTCTATATTTATTATACATAGCGTCTGGGATTCATCCACGCCGTTGATTTTTGTGGACCCCAGTTAATATATCAGTCAATTTTATTTTATTTTTTAATTTAATTTAATTTATTTATTTACTTTTTTAAAAAAAAAAAAAATAAAGGCAATGAATTTTGGGTAGGGTGACATAGGTTGGATCAAACCGAAAAAAATAATTTTTTTTTTTTTTTTTTTTTTTGGATTATATGGTTTAGGTTATTCGACTAATTGTTTCGGTTCGATTTAAAATTGAATTTGTAAATTTTAATTTTGATTCGGTTATATTTGAAATATTTTGTTCGGACAATTTTGGAGATTATTATTATTATTTTTTATTTTTAATATTAAATTAAATTATTATCTTTTATATTTTAATAAATATTAATTTATATTTAAAATATTATATTATTATATATTTCTATTACATTACACAATAATTTAAATTCAGAAGTTTATTATTCAAAATTTAAATTCTCAATCAAATAAGTTAACTAATTTGAGATTTCTTAATATTAATTTGATATATTAGTTTACTCCAATATATAGTAAAAGTTATTAATATATAAATATCAAATACTCTTATCACTTTTACAAAACTATTGATTTATTGTGTTTGTAAGATAAAAATGTCAAAATTATCTTACATTTTTATTAATTAATAAAATATTATTATTTTTAAAATTGCTATTAAATAAAAAAAATGAATATTATAAATTATGACGAATAAAGTAATATTTTATCAAATATAATATTCCCTCTATTCCATTATAATTGACACTATTTCTATTTTTGTTTGTCCCGTAATAATTGATACATTTCTATTTTTGGTAAAAATTATTAAATCAAAACATATTTAACAAATATAAATCAACTTAATTAACTAGATAACATATAAAATCATAAATAACTACGACCACTCAAAATCCCTTTATTTCTATCTCTCTTAAAAAAAATAAATATTTTTATTTATATTTAAAACTACACATCTTTATAAAATTGATTTATGTTAATTATAAATAAACAAAAATAGTTTTTTATTTACTTGTACTATAGAAAATTTTATTCTCTTCAAAATGATATTCATATTACATATATTTTTTAATTGCTATATAATTTTTAAATATTTAAACATATATTTTGATTTTTTTAATCATATATATTAAATTTACTTTCAAACTATAAATATTATTAATTATATAAAAATAATATCATAACTAATTAAACATCCTTACCTTAAATACCGTCTCCCTAATCAAATTATTCAATTTCGATGGGACAAAGGGAGTATTATTTTTTATCAAAAATTTGTATATATATATATATATTTTATTAACAATAATAAAACTCAAGCCAAACACCACTTTAGTTTTTTCATTGATTAATTCGTTAATTAATACAAAATTTGGCAGTCAATGATTCAATTCATAAATCAAGGTTATTAGATCAATTTAATTTATAGATGACCACCATTGATTGATAATTTTAGCTATTTGATTGTGTTATTTTTAGTATTTTACTATATTTTATATAATTTTACTGATAATTTTTAGAAATTGTAAATATATTCTGAGAATTATTATTTTTAAATATTTTATAAAATATTTCTATAAATATATATATTTTTATTAAGAGCATCAGTTACCGTTACTTTTTTTCATTGTTTTTATAATTACTTTTTCAGTTTTTGCTATATTTACATCTAATAAGAAATACAATTCTTATAAATTTATTACATTTCTCAAAAAATAATTACTTTCAACAAAAGTAATAAAAAAAAATTAAATATTTTAATCCAAAAAAATTGTGTGAACAAATCCATCATATTTTAATCCAAAAAATTATAAGTACTTTAATAAAAAAATATAAATTTTCAATTATCTATCTTTACAAATATATATATATATATATACACAGAGGGATGGGACCAGCACTAAAAGTTTGGGGGTCAAAATCGATTTTTTTTTTTATCTTTTATCGATTAATTTTTTTTTTTATTCATAGTACACCCTGAAAAAAAAAATTGAAAATTTTAAATATTTAAAAAAAATTTCAACAAAATTACATAAAATTTAATATTTTTTTACTATAAAAAATAAAATTTAAAAACTAAAAATATAAATCAACAAATGGATAAAATTTTTATAAATTTTTACATTACAAAATAAAAAAATTAGGAGAGTCAAATTGCTATAAATTATGTGAAAAATAATTTTATTATTTTTTACATAAAAAAATACATATATTTTTGAGGGTCGGGGGATCAACTATCCCCCTAGCGCCAGCCTAGTTCAGCCCCTCTATATATATAAAAATTTTATTGAAATATTTTTTTTTTTTTAAATCTCTGTTTCCAAAATTTTCGAGCATTATTTCCTAGGACGAAAGTAATATATAGTTTGTAATCTTCCCACGTATCACTTTGTGTAGATATCACATGCAATTATAGAGTCACTAAATGATATTAAATGAAAATATATATATATATATATATATATTAAAACGATAATGTGTGTTAGTTAGAGAACTAATTATTATTGCTATTATTATTTCAAATTTATTGTACTACTTGAAAAAAAAATTTAAAAAAATTCCATAAACAAGTTACCTGTTGTATATATATTTTTAAACTTTTTCAATAATGCAAAATTTCAACTGCTATATTTTAAATATCATATTAAATAAATTTTCGAATCGAACAAAATAATTTGCAAATTATGCCAGCTAGATAAGCCAAACAGGTCCCAAAATTTGGCCCAAATAATATCCAAGCAATTAATCAATTATATATATATATATATATATATTGATTAAATCAAATATTATTTTATGTGGCTAACAAATTGTTACGTATGTGCTGAATTTATTGTGAATTGATTTTTTGTTAGTTATAATTAAATTTGATGTTTAATGGCTAAGCCTACCTAAAAATTATAAGGTGCATACGTTAGGGGTTTTTAGTAATTTTACTATTAACAATAATTTTCTCTTAACAAAAAAATAATAATAATAAAATCACATTTTTATTTTTATTTTTTTATATTATATGAAAATAAATTATACATTAAAAAAACTTATATCAATACATATTTAAATTATATTACCTCCGACCGGCTCTAAGAGTCTCATTTACTTTTTGGATTTTGATATTTGAATATTAATTATTATATCAAAACATAGTACAAATTAAAAAAAAATTGCAAAAATATTTACATTAATGTCTTATAATACTAATAGAAGGACGTTTCTACAAAAAAAAATTATACAAATATATGATATTTTTAATATTAAATACAATAATGCAAAAAGTAAATATGACCATTAAAAACGGACGCAGAAAATATTAAATAATTATTTAATTTTAAAAATTTATTATTCAAAAATCAAATTCAGACCTACCAAACCGTCCGTAGTTATTTTATATATAAAATATTACTATCTCCGTTTTTAATTGGTTGCATATATTATTTGATATACAATTTATTTAGGCTTTATAATATTATTGATTTATTGAATTAACTTATCTTTTTTTTATTTTTTTTTATTTTTATAAATTATATTTAAAATTTATAGAAAAAAGGATGCTATTGGAAGTGGGTTCAATGGATTAGATATACTCCGTATAAAACATATGTCTACACAAATATGTTTTTTTTAAGTCTCGTAACCGACCTCCTTATCATTTTAGTTCTGTAAGTGGAGCATATCGCAAACTAGTTCCATAAGTAAAAATTTTTTGTTGTTTTAGTTCTCCGGCGTCGGAGACGCCCGCGTGGCTCGCCGGAATCTACGTGTCCGCCAGGTCAGCGACACTTGGCGGACACGTGGATTTTATTTTAATTTTTTATTTTTCAAAAATATTTTTAAAATTTATTTTTAATTTTATTTATTGTTTTTAATTTTTTTATTTGGTCCCATTGAGAAAAAATTTAAAAAAATAAAAAAAATTAAAAAATAAATTAAAATCCACGTGTCCGTCAGGTGGCGCTGACCTGGCGGGACACTTGGTGGACACATGGATTCCGGCGAGCCACGCCGACGTCTCCAGCGTCGGAAGACTAAAAAAACAAAAATTTTCTACTTATGACACTAGTTTGCGCGCGATAGGCTCCACTTACGGGACTAAAATGATAAGAGGTCCACCGGGACTAAAAAAAACAGTTTACACTTAATTAAATCATACTGTATCATATTAATTTCAATTTTTATGTAAATACTATTTTCATATATATATATTTAGTAATTGTGGATTACACTATTCAATACAAATACCTTTAAAAAGTAAAAGTAAAATTATCTTTACACTGCCTTAACTACTTACTACATAAAAATATTATTTTATTTAAATTCCACGCCAAAAGTTATTATATATATTAACGCAAGATAGATGGAGTAATATTAATATTGTATTTTTATTGAAAATCGTCTGAGATTAATAATGCTGATTTTAGTTTGAAATCACAACAAAATACACAATTGCTTTGTTTAGTTTGAGTTTGTATAAAAAGTTTGAGTTTGTGAGAGTGTTTGTAATAAGCTTATTGAACAATTTTAATTTTTTTTGAAATGTAAAAGTTTATTTCTAAATCGTTATAAACCATTTTCTTATTATATTATATCATTTCTTATTTGTTCTTATTAAATCTCTTATTTAAACACACATATCCATATATTGATATATTTTTTTACTCTTTACATCTTTAATGTATCACTTTCCTTCATCTTGTTCAAATAATTTCCTTTATATTATAGTAAAAAGTAATCAATATATAAATATTAAAATATTTTTTTT